GTATTAGCTAACAAACTCACGGAGTTCTTGCTATATATATGTAGCTAAGTTTTCCTTCATAAGCTCAATACTAGGTTTATATCATAGCCAACAAACCTAAAGGTTGTTTTCGCTATTATACAATTAGCTTAAGTTTCATCATATCTTAAGCAGTATGTTTACATTATAAAGGGGATAGCTAACAAAACTCTAATGAGTTTTGTTATTATATATATATAGCTTAAGTTTCATCATAACTTCAAGCTCAGTACTATGTTTTTAACATAAAAGTATATTAGTTAATAAACTCTAATGAGTTTATTTTGCTATATACATTTAGCTTAAGTCTAATCTTATCTTAAGCTTAGTACTATGGTTACACTATAAACATATTAGCTAATAAACTCTACAGAGTTTTTTGGCTATTATATATGTAGCTAAGTTAATAATATCTTAAGCACAATACTATACTCATATTGTAAAATATGTTAGCTAACAAACTCTCACGGAGTTCTGCTATTATATATGTAGCTTAAGTTCATTATATCTTAAGCACACTACTATACTCATATTGTAAAATATATTAGCTAACAAACTCTACGGAGTTTTTATTATATATGTAGCTTAAGTTAATTATATCTTAAGCACACTACTATACTCATATTGTAAAAAATATATTAGCTAACAAAACCCTACAGAGTTTTGCTATATATATGTAGCTTAAGTTAATTATATCTTAAGCTCAGTACTATACTAATATTATAATATATATTAGCTAACAAACTCTACAGAGTTTGGCTATTATATATGTAGCTTAAAGCTAATTATAGCTTAAGCACAGTACTATACTCATATTATAAAAAATATTAGCTAACAAACTCTACAGAGTTTGGCTATTATATATGTAGCTTAAGCTAATTATAGCTTAAGCACAGTACTATACTCATATTATAAAAAATATATTAGCTAACAAACTCTACAGAGTTTTTGCTATTATATATATAGCTAAAGCTTATTCATATCATAAGCTCAGCATTATATCTATATCATATAAGAGCATTAACCAACAAACTCTAAAGAGTTTGTTATTATATAATTAGCTTAAGTTTAATCATATCTTAAGCTTAGGACTATGTTTATATCTTAAAGTATTTTAGCTAACAAACTCTAAGGAGTTTATACTAGCAAGACATTAACAATGCTTTAAGTCTATTAGTCTAAGCATTGTATTAATGTTATATATACTTTATCATAATAAGTACATGGTAATAACCTTTTATATGGCAGCCGATAAGTTAGCAGCAGGAATTCATCAGTTCAGTGCCTTTATGAAGTTCCCATAGGGTTATTACAATCATCACAGTTCAAATCATCAATTATTAAAAAACCAAAGTATTCAGATTCCCTCCGTCTCAGATGCTACAAGCAAAAGAGCATGAGTCAGGATAAGGAAAATATGTAATTTTTGGAGTAAAATTGATATTTTATACTTATCCTGACTCTTATGAGGTCAGCCCTCATCCTCCCCCAAATAACACTTTGGATTTGTAAATTCAAATGTTGGGCTCAGTATATGAGGAGAGAGTGAGGCACATGGGTAGAGGGTCGCCCCTCGCTTCAGCGGCATTGGAAAGGAGGTAACTCGTGGTGAATACTAATTAGTGATTTTAAATTGAAGGGAGCTTCAATTAGGGAGATACAAGTGTTCCACTATGTTCGCAAGAAGAAGAAGACAAGCAAAAAGAGCATGAGTCAGGATAAGTATAAAATATCAATTTTACTCCAAAAATTACATTTTTCATCTCTGATGGTTCTGTGCATAGTAAGATCTGCATCATTGTTAAAGAGTTATGCCGCTCTGCTGGCGTGAGATCTGAAAGGTGCATAGTAAGATCTGCATCATTATTAAAGAGTAATGCCACTCTGCTGGCGTGAGATCTGAAAGGTGCATAGTAAGATCTGCATCATTATTAAAGAGTAATGCCACTCTGCTGGCGTGAGATCTGAAAGGTGCATAGTAAGATCTGCATCATTATTAAAGAGTAATGCCACTCTGCTGGCGTGAGATCTGAAAGGTGCATAGTAAGATCTGCATCATTATTAAAGAGTAATGCCACTCTGCTGGCGTGAGATCTGAAAGGTGCATAGTAAGATCTGCATCATTATTAAAGAGTAATGCCACTCTGCTAGCGTGAGATCTGAAAGGTGCATAGTAAGATCTGCATCATTATTAAAGAGTAATGCTGCTGGCGTGAGATCTGAAAGGCGTAGTAAGATCTGCATCAGGTGCATAGTAAGATCTGCTGGCGTGAGATCATTATTAAGATCTGCATCAGTAGTAATGCCGCTCTGCTGGCGTGAGATCTGAAAGGTGCATAGTAAGATCTGCATCATTATTAAAGAGTAATGCCGCTCTGCTGGCGTGAGATCTGAAAGGTGCATAGTAAGATCTGCATCATTATTAAAGAGTAATGCCACTCTGCTGGCATAGTAAGAGATCTGAAAGGTGCATAGTAAGATCTGCATCATTATTAAAGAGTAATGCCGCTCTGCTGGCGTGAGATCTGAAAGGTGCATAGTAAGATCTGCATCATTATTAAAGAGTAATGCCACTCTGCTGGCGTGAGATCTGAAAGGTGCATAGTAAGATCTGCATCATTATTAAAGAGTAATGCCACTCTGCTAGCGTGAGATCTGAAAGGTGCATAGTAAGATCTGCATCATTATTAAAGAGTAATGCCGCTCTGCTGGCGTGAGATCTGAAAGGTGCATAGTAAGATCTGCATCATTATTAAAGAGTAATGCCGCTCTGCTGGCGTGAGATCTGAAAGGTGCATAGTAAGATCTGCATCATTATTAAAGAGTAATGCCACTCTGCTGGCGTGAGATCTGAAAGGTGCATAGTAAGATCTGCATCATTATTAAAGAGTAATGCCACTCTGCTGCGGAGATCTGAAAGGTGCATAGTAAGATCTGCATCATTATTAAAGAGTAATGCCGCTCTGCTGGCATGAGATCTGAAAGGTGCAAAGTAAGATCTGCATCATTATTAAAGAGTAATGCCACTCTGCTGGCGTGAGATCTGAAAGGTGCATAGTAAGATCTGCATCATTATTAAAGAGTAATGCCACTCTGCTGGCGTGAGATCTGAAAGGTGCATAGTAAGATCTACATCATTATTAAAGAGTAATGCCACTGCTGGCGTGAGATCTGAAAGGTGCATAGTAAGATCTACATCATTATTAAAGAGTAATGCCACTGCTGGCGTGAGATCTGAAAAGTGCAATGATAGTTTGAAGTCCCCATTCATTTCTCATGATATTGATGTCATGGTATCCTCCCATTTGGGGTCGTGATTCCAGTTGTCAGTTGGTCCTTCAGTCTTGTGAGCCTCTGGTCGATCTCTGTGTAGATCCTCCTACAGGGTTGGGGGCCATGCGCCGTGCGACATCTGCACCAACTTGTTCCTCTCAGTTTTCTCCAACTTCTGAAGCACTTTCACCAAAGCGAATATGTTAGGGTGAACTCTCTGGACAGTCTTGTTGAGCTGGGAATGCCATCCCTCGAGATGATTGTTCGTCCTCGGGCCTCGGCTCTCGTGGTGGTTCCATAATCCGGCAAAGGAAGGGCAGTCCATCAGAAGTTTCCTTAAAGCTGCCTGGTAGATTCACCTCGCTGAGAGTCTGGGGAAGTGGCGGCATTGTCTTTCGTCTCTGCTTGTAGAGTCCACTCTTCACTGAATAGAAGGACTTGGCTGTCACTGCTTCATCTCGGTCCAATCTTGAAATCTCCTCGTCGTAAATGGTCTGTACCGGCGTTGTCTCAGTCTGTACCTGTCGCCGCAGAGCACTGGCCATCTTCAGAGCTGCTTGATCTTCCTGTGGATGGTTGTGTGGGGACTGATGTCCAACAAACTGTCCCAGAGCTCCAGATAATTTTTCAACATCAGGAGTACTTACTCCTTATTTGTTCAATATAGGAGTACTGGTAAACCTTAAGTGTATATTTAGAGTACTGAATGGAAATTAATGGACTATCAGTAATCTTGTGTTTCGTTTCATATATGCACCACAATATTGCTACTCTTGTGTAAACAGGTCAATAAACAATAAAACAATACTTTTCTTCAGATTAATACGTCTGTAAATGATTCTAAGACCATACACCATTGCTGTGGTGCGTATCTGCTACGTTCTCTAAATTATTTCCTACCGTATCGTGGATATTTTTTATCCGTACATATGCCGATACGGCCCTTATCTGGAGCCCTGCTGTCCGACTGTGGTGCACTTGCCAAGGCAGCCTCCATGAACACAGTTCCAGTGTACGCAGGTCTGTCGTCGGTTGTTGAGTTTGTATCTGTTGTATCTTGTCGCTCAGGAGACGTGGTAGACATTCATAGGTGTGACGTTGGCGGTTGGGCAGCAGTCCTCCTTTCTGTGATGTGAAGTACTCGACCTTCTTTGGGTTTGCCATGGTTAGCAAAGAAGACTCTGATTACAAGCATTTTAAAGCAATACATTTCCTTCTCAACAAGAAGAATCTCTCTCAATAAATGAAATATTTCCTTCTGACTTTGTTTTATCCCTCAAAATGTTTTTCTATCCTTCAACCGTGTGAGATAAAGCATAGCCTCTGCTAATTGCTCTTTGCCCTCTACTCTCCTAATCCCATTGTAGGCATTAGTGCACACTAACCGGACAGTCCACTTGTGTGCAGGTAAGTGTATCGCTGTCACATCAAACACATCAACTAATTAGTTGTCCCACACTGGCCCCCATGTTCACACCTTCTTAACAAGTTGTCCCGGAGTGGACCCTTAATTGGTTGTTATGTAACAGACAGAGGGGCCGCTCTGGGAATACACCGACCCCAAGCCTGTCAGTTTTATCCCCTTGCTGTCGCCCACCAGGCAGGCTAACAACAAGTAACATCTTCTAATGTCTGTTGGTATGATTTTCTTCATGGATACGGTCATGTGAGATGATGATGGTGATGATGGTGATGATTATTCCTAATAGGTATCAGACATCCTGGATACGGCAATTCAGTACGGTTCTGTGGAGAAGTTGGATCAGCGTGTTCCGAGATGTGATCTTGTTCCGGGTCAGGGTCTTGCAGACGTTGGTGAGTAATAGTAACCATAGCAACACATGTCTGTGTCAAAGGGGGAATTTTACATGTAAATATATAGTAATGCAGAAAGATTCTTGTTTCTTTGTTGAGTTTGTTTGGCTATGCATTGGTGACTGAACAGTGTGTAATAGTGTGTGAATTAATACCTACTGTCTCGCTATAATACCCACTGATCCTCCAGCCATATAATTCTTATGTTCCAGGACAGCTTTCAGACCTCCTACTGTCTCGCTATCGGACATACCTGCTTCTGTTTTGGAGTATTCCGTCTCCACTGATAGATCCTCCAGCCATATAATTACTTATGTTCCAGTCCTACAAGCTTTCAGACCTATACAAGCTGCTGGATCATCGCCACTCTCAATCAGGAGACACACTGAAAATAGCTTTTTTCAACATGAGATGGTTGAAAACATATTTTTTTTATTTGTAAGAGAATAGGACGGGCAGGAGACAAACATTCTGGGTGTTTCTGTGCATGATAATTTGATTTGTTGAAGGCCTAATAATGCAGAATAATTCGTTAGAGCAGTGCTCACAAAAATTATTTGTATACTTTGAATTTGACTAATTAGGGACATGTTATTTGTTTTAGGGATTGGGAGATTGGTCTCATATGTTGCTCACCTCCAACATTTTATGATCTACTCTCAAAAACATGTTGAATTGAGTGGAAGGTCTAAACATGGAAATGTTTTCATCATTCAAGGTTAATTAGTTGGTTGTTTGGCCTGAATTATTATTGCAGCGTGTTAGTTGTTTTGCATTTACAGCTTATCTATTGGTTGTTTGTTGTTGCAGCTGATTGGTTGTTTTGTTATTACAGTTTATCTATTGGTTGTTTGTTGTTGCAGCTGATTGGTTGTTTTGTTATAACAGTTTATCTATTGGTTGTTTATTGTTGCAGCTGATTGGTTGTTTTGTTATTACAGTTTATCTATTGGTTGTTTATTGTTGCAGCTGATTGGTTGTTTTGTTATTACAGTTTATCTATTGGTTGTTTGTTGTTGCAGCTGATTGGTTGTTTTGTTATTACAGTTTATCTATTGGTTGTTTGTTGTTGCAGCTGATTGGTTGTTTTGTTATAACAGTTTATCTATTGGTTGTTTATTGTTGCAGCTGATTGGTTGTTTTGTTATTACAGTTTATCTATTGGTTGTTTGTTGTTGCAGCTGATTGGTTGTTTTGTTATTACAGTTTATCTATTGGTTGTTTGTTGTTGCAGCTGATTGGTTGTTTTGACAATGGTTGGTTGATATTGCAGCTGATTGATTGGTTGTTTTGTGTTTACAGTTTATCTATTGGTTGTTTGTCATTGCAGCTGATTGGTTGTTTTGACAATGGTGGGTTGATATTGCAGCTGATTGATTAGTTGTTTTGTGTTTACAGTTTATCCATTTGTTGTTTGTTGTTGCAGCTGATTGCTTTGGTGTTTGGGCTGATCTACCTCAAGCAGGAATACAACCAGGAAGGTGTCATGAACATCAACGGTGCCCTCTTCCTCCTCATCACTAATGCCTCTTTTAGCAGCATGTTTTCCGTCATCAATGTGAGTATATCACAGTGGGAGTATATCATGTGTATGTTATGACATATCATGACAGTGGGAGTATATCATGTGTAAGTTATAGCATTGCATGACATTTTGCATATGTCATGACAGTGGGGTTTAACATGTGTATATCATGACATTGCATGACATTTTGAGTATATCATGACAGTGGGAGTATATCATGTGTATGCATGACATTGCACGACATTTTGAGTATATCATGACAGTGGGAGTATAACATGTGTATGCATGACATTGCATGGCATTTTGAGTATATCATGACAGTGGGAGTATATCATGTGTATGTCATGACATTGCATGACATTCTGAATATATCATGTTAGTATATCATGACAGTGGGAGTATATCATGTGTATGTCATGACATTGCATGACATTCTGAATATATCATGTTAAAGAACCACTAAACTTTGTTTTTTGTTACTCTTTTAACCATTACATATGAAAGATTTGTGGTTAGTCTTATGCGGAACACCAAATTTATTCTTTAAAAACTTGTGGTTAATTAATACCGAAAGCGATTAAAGTGGCCAAAAGTCGCCTCGCTTCCTCTCTCGCCAACGTAAACCACAGACAGGTTACATAACTCTGTCGCCAGAGCACTGCAGTGACGCCATATGAGGAACGATTTTCAGTTAGTTGTATAGAAAGTGTGTAGCACGCCATCATTTTGATGATTTTCGACATGAACGACGCATATGCCGAATCGCTGCTTTTGTCGCCAATTGCTCCTAGGGGTCGGGTGATGGTGTCACCATGCACAGATTTCCACAGGATCCCCGCAGTTCGTGCTAAATGGGTTATGTTTGTGAGTGCGAAGCGGTTTAGCATTTGTGGAAGCCTGAAACGATATCTTACTTGTGTTCAGATCGCTTCACGGAAGTTAAAGAATCAAAACTACTTACTAGTTATAGTAAAATATGTATATGATTGATGACCATAAAGATTTTCCATAACACAACTTGTAACATAACGATTTCTTCCTCGGAAGTGAGGTTGTGGTCGAAGTAACAATAATATTGTAAGTAGTATTATATTGACACTCCACCTCGCTGCCAGGAGAGAAATTGTTATGTTATACTCTATGTCATGCAAAATCCTATTGGCCATCAATAAAAACATATTTTACTACCAGTAGAAAGTAGTTTTGATTTTGTAACTCGGTGAAAACAAACCTAAATAGCATTTATCCACAGACTGGCGGATGTTCCCGACAGGGCTCGCCATTTTGAAAATCAAAAGTCTGTTAGAATTAATGAGATTATAGTTTGTTTTCATCAAGTTAGAAAATCAAAACTACTTTCTACTCGTAGTTAAATATGTATTGGAATCATAACCAAAAGGGTTTTGCATGACACAACTTATAACATAACGATTTCTTCCACGGAAGCGAGGTGGGGGTCAAGTCACAATACTGGCGCGATAAATTTCTTGCTACATTCACATGGTTAATGTCCACTCACCAGTATGTAGATACTAGTCAATGTGCGCCTTTATATTTGGTCTTATAATCCTAATTAGTTTATTATCATACTTTTATGCATTTTGAAACTAAATAAAAAGCTGACGATCTGCTGATACTTATAGTGAATTTATAACAGAACTGTAATATCTAGACATTTTATAGTTTGCCAATGTGAATCATAATTCGCACACACACCCTAGTGTATGTTGTCTGTCTCATTACACTTCACGGCGAAAACAATGATTCTGTTGAATGCTACTCACGACAAATGATTAAAAACAAAATGCAAATATTAAAATTAAAACAGATTAAAGTTATAGGAACAATATCAGGCCATTACCTTGTTTGAGGAATGTATCCATCAATATCCACAAAACTGTTCCAAATGATGTGTCTTTTAACAGTTTAATATACTGAAAAAGTGATAAATCTTTTCAGGTATTGGTGTATAGTCTCATTGGTCATCCAAGATAGCACACCTGGCAACTAATTGCATAATGTCCGCCTTTCATTAAAAAACAGTAATTTAGTTAGCCAATAATGGGCAATCAATCAATGTATTGCCGGTTAATCCTTTGAAAGAAGGACGTTGTTTTTACGCGAGACACCGACACGGCAGAGTGTATTCAGTATAGATTAGTAAATCTACATACATAAACACTACCTTTTGACAATTCCGCTGTGTAAGATAAAAGTAATTAATCAATCAGCGTGTTATCGGTTAATCCTTTGATCGATGTTCATAATGTTGAATATTTACTCCAGACACAAGAAATGCCAAATGGGAACCTTTGTCGGATAATCTAAGTGTGTTACCACTAATTATACCTGTTATAAATTCATTAACTGACCATCAAGTGAATGATGACAAATAACATGTGTAGGTTTATACCACCTAACACGGGTTACAACAAGGGAGTATTAATTGCTGTATTGCATGTGAAAACTTATGGGCCGACACTGTTTTGAGAATACAAACAGATTTTTACATGACATGATTAAATATCGAGGTAAAAAAACACAGAAATGGGATCAATTTGGATCATTCATTATACAAATAGGGCCTAACGACACCAATCAATTGTGACAGAAGCGTCTATGAAAACAAGTTGTAACTCGAAACTAGGGCAAAGCAGGAGACAAAATTAAATGCCAGTAGATTGTGAGAACATATAGCTTTCATTTTCCACAACAATTGTCACGATTTCAGGTTTATACAAGCCTGTAAACAAGATAATTTACCCCCTAAAATGTAGATGAATTCTGCATCGGCCCTCAAAGCTATTCCTCATATGACGTCACAGAGTCGCGCCGCTCTGATTGGTTGAAATTTCGTCCGCGGGTGAGAATTGTGCACTGTTGTCAAAAAGGTCGATTTAAGTCAATTAAAGGTCGAAATGAGTAGTTTTAATGACGGGGTTGCATTTATAACGATGCCAGTTAGTGATTTATGTATTTTTAACCCCTAGGGTTTATGTGACCTTTAATATATCATGAGTGTATATCATCACAGTGGTCAGTGAGCGTGTCATGACTTCTGGATATATTGAGACTTCATTCATGACATGTTTTTTGCCATTTTGAAAGTAAAGTTAGGGTGAGTATGTGTAACAATAGTGTGTGTATATCTTGACATTGGTCAGTGTGTGTATATCACAACATGTGTGTATATCTTGACATTGGTCAGAGTGTGTATATATCACAACATGTGTGTATATCTTGACATTGGTCAGAGTGTGTATATATCACAACATGTGTGTATATCTTGACATTGGTCAGTGTGTGTATATCACAACATGTGTGTATATCTTGACATTGGTCAGTGTATGTATATCACAACATGTGTGTATATCTTGACATTGGTCAGTGTGTGTATATCACAACATGTGTGTATATCTTGACATTGGTCAGTGTGTGTATATCACAACATGTGTGTATATCTTGACATTGGTCAGTGTGTGTATATCACAACATGTGTGTATATCTTGACATTGGTCAGTGTGTGTATATCACAACATGTGTGTATATCTTGACATTGGTCAGTGTGTGTATATCACAACATGTGTGTATATATCTTGACATTGGTCAGTGTGTATATCACAACATGTGTGCATATCTTGACATTGGTCAGTGTGTGTATATCACAACATGTGTGCATATCTTGACATTGGTCAGTGTGTGTATATCACAACATGTGTGTATATCTTGACATTGGTCAGTGTGTGTATATCACAACATGTGTGTATATCTTGACATTGGTCAGTGTGTATATCACATCATGTGTGTATATCTTGACATTGGTCAGTGTGTGTATATCACAACATGTGTGTGTATCTTGACATTGGTCAGTGTGTGTATATCACAACATGTGTGTGTATCCTGACATTGGTCAGTGTGTGTATATCACAACATGTGTGTGTATATTTGGTCAGTGTGTGTATATCACAACATGTGTGTATATCTTGACATTGGTCAGTGTGTGTATATCACAACATGTGTGTATGTCTTGACATTGGTCAGTGTGTGTATGTAGCCGAGGCCGCCTGGGGAATTTCGGCTCTGGGCCGTTGGGTGCAAGACAAAACAATTGTGATGATGGTATGATTTTATTATGAGGCTGTTGCTGAGGTATCTGAAGAAAGAAAAGATGTTTCCACCTCAGCAACAGCAATTGGAGTCTTAAAATATTAAATTTACATTAACTATATGATGCATTGTAAACAAGTATCAGTTAGCCAAAGTAATCAATAAACCTTTTGCAAAACAAATTTGTAAATGTATGGAGAGCACATGGTCCATGTACATGGTCAATACAATGTATACAAATTATAATTAATTGCTTTAAAGTTTAAAATTATAAATTAAATATTACCCTTAATAGTTTTAAATTACAGTTTGAATTAATTTAAGCACCTTTATATAGAAGTGAAGATAAAATTGAGGCAGGTGGAAAAGGATTAGAAAATGGCCATACCTGAAGAAAGAAAAGATGTTTCCACCTCAGCGACAGCAATTGGAGCCAAAGGAAGTAGACAGAGGGACACAATAGCCAATTAGAGGACAGATAACGCATCAAAGGAAGCCTTTGATGTGACTTATAAATAGAATAGGGAAAGCCCAGAAGATGGGTACTGAATAAAAAAATAGAACAGAGGTGAAGGGAAATCCTTGTCAACAAGGCTCCTGGAAACAGATAATAAGGTGAAAATTAAGAGGCGGCGTTCAACGGCAAACACGGACAACATATAACAAATGGACATTTAACAGATAATGATATGAAAGATGGCAGATGCAACAAATGGAAAGATGAACATACAATTAAGTAAAGAAAACATACCATGATATATACAAAAGATCAAGTCATTTATCCCTGCTACATGTATATCACAACATGTGTGTATATCTTGACATTGGTCAGTGTGTGTATATCACAACATGTGTGTATATCTTGACATTGGTCAGTGTGTGTATATCACAACATGTGTGTATATCTTGACATTGGTCAGTGTGTGTATATCACAATGTGTGTATATATTGACATTGGTCAGTGTGTGTATATCACAACATGTGTGTATATCTTGACATTGGTCAGTGTGTGTATATCACAACATGTGTGTATATCTTGACATTGGTCAGTGTGTGTATATCACAACATGTGTGTATATCTTGACATTGGTCAGTGTGTGTAAATCACAACATGTGTGTATATCTTGACATTGGTCAGTGTGTGTATATCACAACATGTGTGTATATCTTGACATTGGTCAGTGTGTGTATATCACAACATGTGTGTGTATCTTGACATTGGTCAGTGTGTGTATATCACAACATGTGTGTATATCTTGACATTGGTCAGTGTGTGTATATCACAACATGTGTGTATATCTTGACATTGGTCAGTGTGTGTATATCACGATGGTGGACAGCGCCATGAAGATATTTGTTGTGTTATTTGTTGATGGACATTTGTTTTATTTCCAGTCTTTCCCTATTGAGCTAGAAATCTTCATGAGGGAGTATGGGAGCGGCCTATATCGAGTTGATGTCTACTTCTTGTCAAAAACATTTGCAGAGGTGAGCATGAACTGTGTATTATTCAACAGTTAAACGAGAAATCATTTCCAACAGTTTTTCTTGATATAAGCATCAGCCATACGCAGACGATGCACAGCTATACAAGTTTTTTCCTGTAGCACACTAACAGACATGAGTCAATGCCATGAAGTGGCGTTCCTTTAATTGTTTCCTTCAGTATATGTCCACAGCTTCCTATTCATCTCATTAGATGCCGTGGTTAATCTAGTAGTTCACACATTGAAGACCTGGGTTCGATTCTCCACATGGGTACAATGTGTGAAGCCCATTTCTGGCATCCCTGTGATATTGCTGGAATATTGCTACAATCGGCGTAAAACCCTGATTACTCACGGTCATTACTGGCAACTAACTGGAGTGGTGGTCAGGCTCAGTGGCTTGGTTGATTGGGACTCATAACATCAATCACCAGTTCATCTGGACTGGTTCATGCTGCCCACTGTATGTGATATAGCTGGACTACTGCTGACGATGGCATTAAACGACAAACGGAACAAACGAGACATTGACTGTTTTATCGAATGGCTCGTGAAAAGTAATAATGTGATTATTTTTGCAGCTCCCCACCTTTGTATTTCTGCCCTGGCTGATGGTGCTGGTCCTATACTGGATGATAGGTAAACCCTAGGGCTGTTAGCAGATGCATGTCACGTTGGGCTGGGACGGGGCCAAATTTCATACCCAACCTGGGTACCCGTTATACACAAATTGCGAGTTATTCCCCCTCAATAAACTTAGTCATGGCTGAGATAAAGAGCGCCATCTGGAAATATTTTGAATCTGTTGCATCAAGTACAAAGACAAAGTGGATGGGGTACGTCATCGATGTGGAAAAATCAGAACCACAAACATCCCTCCGTAACAAACAAGGAGCTATAAACAACTGCCATTCCAACAACCTACAGGCAAAATACAATTGAAGGTATAAATAAATAGAGGAATTTTTTCTTATCCTGACTCATGCTCTTTTGCTTATCTCGATTTCATATGCGAATGGAAGTGGAACACTTGAATCCTTTGAAGTTCCTGAAGCGGACGTAAAAATACACTCAACCATTAGTTACCTCCCTTTTCCCGCGTAAACAGTCCTGTGACCAGCCTTACTTGTCACTCTCTCCCTTTTCGCCCAAGCAGATGGTTGGGCGAGCACTGGAGTCCCGTATATGGCATTATATCCTTTTTATTTAGATCCTATTCTTTGAAACTAGCTGTGTATGGATTTGGCTATAATTACTTTGTATTATATGAAAATAATTTGAAGAATTTTTTTTGTATTTGTGTCACATTTTCATTGTAATGTAACTTGTTTACATTTCATGAAGATAGAAGGCATGAGAAGTCTACTCACACTTTGACATCTACATCTGCGAACCCTCAACGTTCGAGAACACCTAAGGATCACACTTATCTCACAGATATTCGCGAGAACCAGGTTTATGAAGGCAGGATTTAACTTGTCGGGATGGATCTCGAGATAGATGTTCACGAAGAGTATCACGGGACAGAGGTTCGCGAAGAGAGGAATCTCGAGACAGAGGTTCGCGAAGAGTTGTATCTAGAGACAGAGGTTCGCGAAGGGAGGACTCACAAGATAGACTTTCGTGAAGGGAGGAATCTAGAGATAGAGGTTCGTGGAAGGTCGATGCAAGAGATGGAGGTTCGAGAAGGGATGACTATAGGGATACAGGTTCGCAGAAGGATGATTCGCGGAGGCATAGTTCTACGGACCGAGATATATCTTCGTCTTCCCGGAATCAGAGGTTACAGCTTGGATAGTCAATGGATTGAACTTGGAGTCTCCTTCTAAGGATGTGTATGAAGTCTACACATATAAGATGTGCAATGACTACTTTGACTCGGTGACTATTTCTCCGATTGAATCTATATCCAAGGTACCTTCTAACCTAAGCTGCAGACAGCTACAAGGTTCGAGAACTCTCAGATATACAGGCAGATAACAGCAACGCAGACATCTACAGGGTTCGCGAACCCAAGGGTTAACGAACCCTTAAATCAACAGGCAGGATGATGATGTTGACTCTATTACCATACGGCTGAATAAAACGAAGCAATAATTAAAAAGATCAACAACATGTGCGATCTCTAAAGTTTACAGCCTGCACAACTCTACATCCTGCACGAACTTTACACCTGTAGTAGGTTCAGTTTCGGACGACAACCTACTTGATGAGAGGAATCCCTTCATCTACACGGATGCGGAGGTTTCATCCTGGGTAGCAGATGGCCTGCGGATATTGTAGTTCACTCACTCACTCCAACCCAACAGAGACGTACTGCATATACACTGTGACTTCGACTCCAATAGGATATCACCTATCAGAAGCCGATATCTCAAGCACTGGAGAACCTCAAGGCGACCTTGGTAAAGGGCTTAAGGTTAACAACACCTTCAAGAATCCTTGAACGGACGTGCAGATAATATTATTAACACTCGTCACTCAGCATGGGGGTTAGGATTTTATATCCTATCAACTAGATTCAACATCGGAATTTCTTTAAGATCCATGCAGACATACGTCTCGACAGCCTCCTTCGTCATGCTGGCTTATACATGATTATTTCACTGAACAAAATTTTATAGTTGGAGGAACCCTTATTCAAGAGGTTTATATGAGCCGGCGTAGAACTATGCGCGCTTTTACTCAACCAACTATTGCACCAGATTTTATGGAGGCCAACTTGCTACAACACCGGTGACGCCATGCTGGAAGCTGATTGGTCCACGTCAGACAACGCCTCCTACTGACAGAGCAGGCGCCAGCAAGTTTACTGACTTGTAAACAAACCTGTTGTATGGGGGAATACTTCACCGGCAGCTTTGGAAACAGTATACAACTACGGCCTGTTATGATCATGGGAATCTAATAGATGTCTAGCCTTGACAGCAGGATAAACGATGTTTATTTTGGAAGTTGTCGCTGATAAAAGTCGGTATGAGTACCTGTCCCCTGCGATGCGGGAGCCAGCCTTGCTATAAATAGACAACGCTTCGATTTATGCTGATCAACACAGCTCGCCTGCGTATATAAGGGGAAGAATGATGTATCATCGCTGCAATCAGAGGTTAGCACTTCCAATGGAATGTCCTGCTGTTTGGAATATCGTCGGCTCTATGGTTATTCATATGAATAATCAAGCCTATCGGCAGCTATCTGCATCATTGAGGTCTACGCCGTGCCGGTTATCTGGACGACGGCATACAGGTTCTTCAAAGTGCCAATCAACTCAGACAGCAGCTGAACTTCACAATTAAATTGCTCACCCAACTAGGATGGCTAGTGAACCTGATTGGAGTTAGAATCAAAACAAGATCTTCAATTGCTGGGAATAAGAATTATTGCACAGAATCGAATTGTGGTCCCAGAAGATCATTGGGTCAAGATACAAGCCATGATTCCACAAGCAGTCATCTCTCCGTTAACACTACGAACATGGCAATGTCTACTCGGTCTGCTAACCTCGGCGCAGGACTTGACTCGCACAGGAAGGTTACAACCAAGGCTGCTGCAATGGTTCCTGACAAAACATCTGGACAGCGTCGACCCTATCTTGCTGCCAGACAATCTCAAGAGATACCTACTTTGGTGGACCCACAGGTAGAACGTCTGCGGAGGGACCTATTTACAAGAGCCGGCCTTCGACACACATCTCTACATAGACGCATCGATACAAGGTTGGGGTGCACATCTCAACAATCAAGTTGCATCAGGGAAGTGGTCCAAAACAGAGCAGCATATTCGCATCAATCTGCTGGAGATGAAAGCCGTGATCAACGCCTTACAACTATGGTTGAGCTCGCTGATCAACAGGATGCTGATGGTCCCCATGGACAACTCTACAGTGGCATTCTCTATAAATTGGCAAGCATCTACAAGGTCACCAAGCCTTCTACAGCTCACATTCCAGTTGTTCGACATCATGGAGGAAGCAAACATCGGGATAAAGGCGTGTCACATACCCAGATCCAAGAACGTGCTTGCAGACGCTCTCTCCTGACCACTGCACCCGTCACCTACGAAATGGATGCTCCATCCTGAAGCATTCCAGCTCATCATAAGCGAAATAGGATCCCCATGCATAGACCTGTTTGCCACGAGGCTAAACAAACAACTACAGACGTTTGTCTCACCAGTTCCAGATCCTCAAGCCTGGCCAACAGATGCACTGAGCATATCCTCAGTTGTAGGAAAGATGTAGAAAATCTAGCCTGTCCACACGACTGGCAGGTCAAATTTTTTACCAGTCCTGCCAAAATCTAGCCTGTCCTCCAAATATAAATAAAACACCTTCGGCAGTAAATATTCAAAAAGGTTATAATCATTATATATATGTCATTGGTTTGCTAAAATTGACCCGACATGAGGACGGACTAGATATTTTTTTTAACCCGTCCTCCACAAAATTCACCCGTCTCGGACGTTGGGATGGGCTATCTTTCCTACACTGATATCCTGGGAAGGACTTAACGCTTATGCGTTTCCACCCCTGATATTACCACTGAAAGTACTGTTGAAGATCAAACAGACACAGGCGCTACAACTGACTTTGGTTGCGCCATACTGGCCAGCGAAAGTATGGTTCCTAGACCTAATAGAGGATCTCAGAAGTCCAACAATCAAGTTACCAGATTGGCTGAACCTACTCATACATCCGCCCACCAAGCAAGTCCACGGAACCCAGTACTGTTCCAGCTACACGCGTGGACCGTATCAAAACATGTTTGAAGAAAAGAGGATACTCCACCAGAGCAGCCAAGGCAGTAACATTAGTGTTACGCAGATCCACTCGTAACCTGTATGATGACAAGTGGCTGAAGTTTGAGACTTATGCAAGGCGGAAAGGCTTCATTGCTATGAAAGTTACTCATCCTCAAGTGGCGGAATACCTATGTCATCTTAGACATACTAGACATCTGAAAGGTTCGACATTATCCACGTACCTTGCTGCCATCAGTACAGTGATGACCATGAAGACAGGCATCAAGTTGACGAAGTACCAGAATTACTTGCTCTGCTGAGATCTTTTAAACTGGAGGACCAGCAAAAGAAATTCAGAGCTCCAGCCTGGGACCTAAATGTAATTCTGCGTCATCTTACCAGTGATGTGTACGAGCCTCTAGATCAGATCACTATCGAGCTGCTAACACAGAAGACGCTGTTCCTGCTAGCGTTAGCCACTGCAGCTCGCATATCGTAAATACATGCGCTAGACTATGGTTGAACCAGATTCGACAGAGGGCAATATAATGCAGTTCATCTAGGACTTAGATGGGACTTTATTGCCAAGAACCAATTACCTGGTCAACCAGATAGACAGTTCCACGTACCATTGCTGTCTACAGTCCTCGGCCCACAAAATATAGAGGACTTATCCTTGTGCCCAGTCAGAGCCCTGAAGATATATCTTCAAAAGACTGAGATGAGGAAACGGAAATTTAAGCGCCTATTCATCCCATTATCAACAAAGACTTCTGCAGAAGTCTCAAGAACGACCATATCGTTCTGGATGAGAGCCGTCATATTGAGAGCCTATAAAGCAGCAGGACTAGAACCTCCTAGAGCTTCCAACCCACACGAAGTCAGAGCACTGGCATTAA